CTACATGTTTTTGGTAAAAAAAATCCCAATAAGTGTATATTGATTGCTTTGTGTGGAAGTTATAGCGTCTACAAACTATGGTATAAATACTGCAATTTACGCCATTTTTCTGCTATACAGCGCTGCGCTAGTTTAACGGACAATTGCGCGGTCATGCAATATGGTACATAAATGAAATTTACATCCTTTTTTTCCCCACAAATTGAGCTTTCTTTCGGTGGTATTTGATTGCCTGTGCGGTTTTTATTTTTTGCGCTATAAAAAAAAAAAGGCTGACAATTTTGAGGGAAAAAAAAAACAATATTTTGGACTTTTTGCTATAAAACAAACATCCTGTAAAAAAAAAAATGCAAAAATCAAATTTAGTCATAAATTTCTGCCAAAATGCATTCTGCGACATGTCTTTGGTAAAAAAAAACCCAATACGTGTAAATTAATTGGTTTACGTGCAAGTTATAGCGTTTACAAATGGCGGGAAAGATACTGGGATTTTTAATTTTTATTTATACTAATAATGGCGCCGATCAGCGACATATAGCGGCAATCAGCGACATATGACGGCGACCAGCGACTTATGGCGGGACTGCGGGACGAGGCGGACATTTTGACACTGGCGGGGAGCTGACTTGGGGTCACTGACATCCCCAGTGACACCAATACAGTGATCAGTGAAAAAAAAACACTGAAACTGTACTAATGTCACTGGGGAGGAAGGGGTTAACATTTTTAGTGTTCACTGTGTGAGGGGAGTGTTTTACTAAGGGGCGGGGGTGTGTACTGAACGGGGGGAGGGAGGGGGGAGCTGATCGAGGGAGAGAAACTGTATTCTCCCTCTGCAGCTTGGCAGGCGAACTGTCACAGAGCAGGCTGTGTGTAAACAATGCAGCCCTGCTCTGTTTCAGTGTTCACCGCTCATCGCGGGGAAAAAACGGCCGGTAAAAACCGGCCATGACCCGGCGGCGGGGACCCGCTGCTGACACCCGCGGGACAGGTAGGGCGGGCGCGTGCCTCGCGCGCGCCCCCTGCCTGTTTTGTAGGCACACGTTTTAAAACGTGCTTTTGCCTACGAGCGCCGCCCTGCCACCGTTTATATGCGGTGGCTGGGCGGCATGTGGTTAAAGTGGGGTAACACTAAAAGAAAATTGTGCAGACAGTCATCTGATTTTCGACGAAGGTGCGTATCATGATGTAATCAACAATAGTATTAACTTTACAAAAATTCAGGAATGTCAAAGGCAAATGTTCTTTTTTGTGTATGATTTCTATATTTGTTGCCACCTACGTCCGGGTAATTCTTTGTTTTTGATCATGCACGTTTTTCTCTATTCGATTGTTTTCATACGATTACTGTACACATTGAGCGAAAATCAGACATTGTGTTCAAGTACGATTAAAATTTTCTAGCTTGCACCTGCATTTTTTCTCATCCAAAAAGTTGGAATCGGCAGTCAAAAGCACAATACTAACGATCAGATAATCAACCAATCATTCTTCGTGCAGAATTTTTTATCCAATTTTCTTATAATGTGCACCCAGATATAGCACCAGATACTGGCAGACATAACCAAATGTCAGGAAAGCAATCATATTTATAAGTGTGAATAGCATTTGTTTGATTGAAATTCATTTCCTATTCTTGCTACAAAAAAAATTACTTTTGCCTTTATATATTTGAACCAGTGTTTGGCAAAGGATGTGGCCAAGCAGGAGGTTATATGGTTATCTGTTAATCTCTTTCTTTAAAAGGTCAACCAATTTGTTTTAGTTTTGGAGAAAACACTCCTTTACTAAAGGAGTAGAAACTGTCCACTTTTTTAAAGTTAATGTTCACTTTTGTAAATAAGATGAAGATGTGTTCACTTTGAATGTCCATTCATGTGAAAGAAGGGAAGGGGGAGGCAGGATTTTTGCTTGTGCAATGTTAATTTAGGTGTCTGCCTTGACAAATGTTGACAACAAATCTTTAATGTACTGCCTTGTTTCTCCATATTAAAATTAAAATGACTGAGCAGAGTGGGGGGAATTTACTAAAACTGGAGCTCTCAGAATCTGCTGCAGCTGTGCATTGTAGCCAATCAGTTTCTCACTTCAGCTTGTTCAGTTAAGCTTTGACAACAAAACCTGGAAGCTGATTGGTTTCTAAGCAGAGCTGCATCATATTTTGCACCATGCAGTTTTAGTAAATAACCCCCCTGTGTATGCGGTAGAAAAAAATCTCAACAGCCTTGGGATACCTTCATTGGTAAAAAAAGGTGGATTTTCAGCCATTTCACCCAGTACCCTTTTATTTTCCTTCCAAATGTGTACAGTGTTACACATCTGAACCTATGCCACTCCTTTAGAATTAATGTGCATTAGTAAGCAACACACATTTTTGGATGATTATGTGTCCAACACAAATCACTCACATCATTTGATCACTTCTGGCCTTTTTAGCCTGAGGTGTAAACATTGTACAGCTGTTCAGTGGTCTGTCCTGTATTTTCATCTTTTGCTTAAAAACCTCTTCTCGCATAAGGTGACTTCAACAAATAAAATTAGATGAATATTTGCAATCTGGTAAATAATTAACAAATATGTCACCCAACTCACCCAAAAGAACATTTATTTGGTTTATCTGGACAACAAGCAGAAAGATGAAATTGCGTAACCCTATTTTTTTTTTGTTCCATTGTGCTTGAACTAGGCTGCAAATCTGCTTGTTAGCCACATGATGTCACTGAAATCTACTATGTGAATCGAACCTTGCCTAATGCAAAAACTTGTTGGATGACAAATTTGCAAATCGAAAAAATAGCTCAAGGGATGAAACTGGAGGCTTTCTCATTAGTTTTAAATTGAAATACTGGCTTACTGTAAGGGAAGTACATTTGTTACTGGGCTAAATGATGGAGCTGACAATGGGTATGATCACTGTTTATCTTTCTGCTTTCAGGATTCATGTAGAAGTTATTGGTACAATTACAGTAATGTATAAATCCTGAACAATGCACTGGCTGCACACAACACAGGACAATCCCCAAAACAGCATTAAGGGTAACACTAAAAGCATTTGACTTTACAGTTAGAAATATACAATACGCATGACAAAACAGGTTAGATGACCACTAACTGCTTGCTATAGGTTTATTGGTATGACATTTTTGCTTAAATGGACCCCTATAAATGACAGGATGCTGTTTAAATAAACCCCTTTGATTGGTATAACACTGTTTAAAAAGAAAATCTAGTCGTTAAAGAAAAAAAAATTATCTAGATTGTGAAGCAGTAAAACACATGACATATGAGACTTTGTGAGCAGTGAAGAGTTATAAAAGGGCAAAAGGGGCAATTGCCATGGGGTCCTGCCAGAAGGGACTCTTTTATACAAAAATATAATACTTGAAAAAAAATTGTTTATTTTGTTATAATTTATTGTAGGAAGCAATATTTTGCCTGCGATCATCTATTTGTACTCTGAATAATGTTTCAGTTTTAAACAGATTTTGACAGCCCTAGCGAAACATCATTTAACACATACATCCTTAACAAAGATAGCCTACAATTGCAGTTATGACTGCATGCATGCCCTCATAAGGATATTGTGTCACATATTTTTAAAAAGTGTGATTGTCAGAAAAGCTAGTTACCAATGATATTTCATGCAGAGGTAGGTCCAGCCAGTACCATCAAGCTATATCTTTACATTTATTTACTTCATATATATAACTAATTTAACCTTTCTATGTATGTATAACTCATCAGTTCCTATGACATGTACATCCATACTAAACCAGATTCTACTTTGGCTGCTTCTCTCCTATCTAACTGTATTTGTGATACAAAACTTGGGATGGCCCAACATTTCCTTTCGATTAAACTGTGACAAGAATGAAGTCATGCTGATTGGCATCCCCCATCAATTGTGTAAGGCCAGTTCTGGTAGTCTATCTATTGATGGCATTGTACTTGAGCTTCAGTTTAAACTGAAACATCTAGGGGTAATATTTGAAGCTAGCTTAAACTTTGATCCACATGTACAAAAATGTTGTTGAAACATCTTTTTTCCACTTGAGAAACATATCTCGGCATGCGTCCTATGCTATCATACACTGTAGCTCAAAATCTGATCCATACATTTGTGTTTTTCCGACTTGACCATTGCAATGCTCTATTTGCTGGTGTAACCACTATTAAACAACTACAATATGTACAAATTCTGCAGCCAGAATCCTCACTAGGTCTGGTACAAGTGATCATATTACTCTTATCCTGTCGCATAGATTTTAAGATCTTCTTGCTCACCTATAAGGCTCTTCATGGCTTGGCACCCCATTATCTGTGTGAATTTTATCAACTTACTCCTCCCCTCATAACCTTTGCTCCTCAAATTCAGGTCTTCTGTGTGTGTCCCCTACTCACCTACACTCGATGGGAGACAGAGCTTTCTCCTGGCATGCTCCAAAACGTTGGAATGCACTTCCAAAGAACATCAGAGAGTCATCTTCTCTAAACTCATTCAAGTCAAATCTAAACCCTTTTTTATTTAGACAGTCTTACACTTAATTGTCCTTTTTTCTTTGTTTTATCCTGTATTTCTTATGTTTTCTTTGTACAGCGTTTTGAGAATCTACCTTTAAAGGCACTATATACAATAAAGTTTATTATTAATATAATAAATAGATATATAAATTTGTTTATTTGCCATGTATTTTAATACTTGTGTATTAGAGGACCACTGAACCTGAAGTTCTCTTGACCTACCTTCCACATTTAAATCTGAAAACTCAAGTGTTATGTTGACTCTATGTTTTTCAAGCACAGTTGTGTAAATAGTAACTTCAGCAATAACTAAAGTGTATGGGGTCATTTCTGCTGACTGACAACACTAATTCTGCAGCCAGTAAGAGCAATAGTTCTAAAGACAGACTGGCTATATTGAGATGACATATACAAATCATTGGATTCAGATGTACCAATCACCTCCATGGCCACAGGTGTATAAAATCAAGCACCTAGGCATGCAGACTGCTTCTACAAACATTTATGAAATAATGGGTCGCTCTCAGGAGCTCAGTGAGCTCATGCATGGTACCGTGATAGGTTGCCACCTGTGCAATAAGTCCATCCGTGAAATTGCCTTGCTGCTAAATATTCCACGGTCAACTGCTAGTGGTATTATAACAAAGTGCAAGTAACTGGGAACAACAGCAACTCAGCCACAAAGTGGTAGGCCATGTAAAATGACAGAGCAGGGTCAGTGAATGTTGAAGCTCACAGTATGCAGAAGTCGCCAACTGTCTGCAGAGTCAATAGATAAAGACCTCCAAACTTCCTGTGGCCTTCAGATTATCACAACAGTGTGTAGAGAGCTTCATGGAATGGGTTTCAATGGCCGAGCAGCTGCAGCTGCAGCCTTACATCACCAAGTGCAATGCAAAGTGTTGGATGCAGTGGTGTAAAACACACAGCCACTGGACTCTAGAGCAGTGGAGACGTGTTCTCTGAAGTGACCAATCACGCTTCTCTGTCTGGCAATCCAATGGATATGTCTGGGTTTGGTGCCTGCCAAGAGAACGATACTTGCATGACTGCATTGTGCCAAGTGTAACGTTTGGGGGGGGATTCTGGTGTGGGGTTGTCTTTCAGGGGTTGGGCTTGGCCCCTTAGTTCCAGTGAAGAGAACTCTAAAGGTGTCAGCATACCAAGACATTTTGGACAATTTCATGCTCCCAACTTTGTGGGAACAGTTTGGGGATGGCCCCTTCCTGTTCCAATATGACTGCGCACCAGTACACAAAGCAAGGTCCATAAAGACATGGATAAGCAAGTTTGGGGTGGAGGAACTTGACTGGCCTGTATAGAGTCCTGACCTCAACCTGATAGAACACCTTTGGGATGAATTAGAGTGGAGACTATGAGCCAGGCCTTCTCGTCCAACATCAGTGCCTGACCTCACAAATGCGCTTCTGGGAGAATGGTCAAATATTCCCATATACACACTCCTAAACCTTGTGGACAGCCTTCCTAGAAGAGTTGAAGCTGTTATCGCTGCAAAGGGTGGGCCAACTGAATATTGAACCCTACTACGAACTATACTAATAACTAATATATATATATGTACCAATACAAAAAGTTAGTTACAAACAAGTTCAACTTTCATTACGGTGTTTTTATTTTTATAAAGCAATAGAAAATTAAAACAGAGTACTACATTTAAAAAAGGTAGACAACGGGGGGCAGGAATTAGTTTGTTAGGATGAATTCTACTTCCTGCTATATCATGGATATAATACTAGCGTAGGAATGGTGTGTATATTTATGGTTGTGTGTATAAATATTGCTCGAATGCCACAGTATGTCAGAATGCCACAGCAACTGGGTATATCCCTTTATAACAGCTTTTTATGTCACCAGAATGTGTATTCCAGCCACTGAACAAAGTCCTGGATCACAAGGATAACATATAGAGAAATGGTTTTATGAGTGTAATAATAAGGTCATATTCATTCAAAAGCCTGCTTGCCCTGCACACATCAATACAATAAAAATGACAGTACAAGCTACTGTGTCTAGTGTGTCTGTTAGTACATGTGAAACAAATGTTAGCTAGCAACATGGTCAACATTCCTTTCCAATTAATTTCTAATATGTCAAATAGCGATAGGCCCACAGAATGGTACAGATTCATATTTATAAAGCAGTAAGTCTGACAATCAACAAACATTCACTGCAGGTCAGTCTTCCTGGTGCATGTGTTTAAAATAACAGCAATGTATTCACCACTAGTGAATGTTTGGTGAAAGTCACAATCACTGCTTTAGAAATACTGTATGTCCTTATGTGTCTGTATATAATCCTACACAAAGTCCTTTAATAAGTATACTTTGAGAACTCCTAAAGAACACTCAACATATACTGAACATTAGTATTCTGACCTTGTTATAATATGACATATGACAAAAGCACAGTACAAATGTAATGTCTCAATTTCATTACATCATAAAGTTCAGAAGGCATCATCCTTTATGTGTGTTTATATAAGTCTTTGTATGTATGTTTGTAGTGACTGATCACAACCAGTTATTTTAAGATTTATGGTTTATTATACAAAATGTATATTGATGTCACAGTGCTATTTCTTGAACAATCAGCAGCCTGTCTAAGCCACTAATTAGAAAAGTGAAATTTGAGAGCAGAGGCCCATGCCCTATTAAAATCTGTGTACTTAGTATTTTCCCCACTCATCTACAGACAGTGACAGCTTATCTCTCAATGCCAGCTAAAAATGTGCTGGCAAAAGATTGCAATCATCAGCAAAAATGTCTGCTCTGCTTCAGTACCGCAAGGGAATCACAGAATTTGGATATATGTATCGGTGGAGCTTATTTAGAAAAAAAAAGATGTATTCAGAAAAGTTATTTGTAGCACAAATATTTGACTTTGACTTTACCAACTTTAATATGTTCCACTGCATATGAATTTCTGTCATTTTTTACTAAAAACACTGTTGTCTATCTAGAAATATCCAACACATTAAAAAGAAACTAAAGTGTAAAAAAAAAATTGCAAGCAGGCTCTTTATTGCAAAAGAGACATTGTGGAGGAGATTTACTAAAGCTGGTTCACTCAGAATCTTGTGCCCCTGTGCATGGTAGCCAATCAGCTTCTAACCTCAGCTTGTTCAAATAATCTTTAGTAATAAAACCTGGAAACTGAGTGAAGCAACATTAGTAAATAGACCCCACTATGTCTCTAATGCAATAAAATATATTTTCCTGCCTCCTCATAATCTTCTTTAGAATGTACACCAAACTGTGTGGGCTACATTCTCGATAAACTATTCTGGTGCTGGGGTGAATTAAAATATAACTAAAAGAAATTATTTTTTAGTTTTGGATATAGTGGCAATGGATTAGAACCCCTGTAAGTTTTTATTGCACTCCGTGTCCCCATTAGGGAAAATCGCTCTCTCTATTTGTCCTGTTTACCATTATCATTGAAAGTGAAAGTAAAAGAAAATCCCAAACTTTGGATTGTCCCCAGAAAAGTAATAGAGGGTAAATATTCCAATGGGGACACTAGTTCTGGTGACCTGGGGGTCCCCAAGGGATTCCCTTAATTTGCAGAGATTACCTCTCACTTTCTTTCTGGCTATGGGAAATTACATGAAGGGAAATCTCCGCAATGGGGCACAGATGGTGAAAAAAAAAATCAGACAGAGGTTATAACCCTTCTATACTCTATCCAAAATGAAAAAAAATATGTTTGCCTATAGTTCTGCTTTAAGTCCTACATGTGAAGATATGTCATCCTGTGCTGGCCAAGACGGCTGAAGACATGGCACCCAAAAGAAGCTAGGGAGATCATGTCAGCGCAAGTGAGGGACCTCACAGGCATCAGATCCTTGAAGTGGAGGAAAGAATTTGCAAAGTTTAGCTCTGCTTCAAAGCTGAACTCCTTGCAGATATAAAAGACGCAAATGAATTCAGGTCATTTTCATTAATACATAATTAAAAAAATAGGTGTAAAGGCATTTTTCTCTTCAAATATTAAACATGTTATACTCACCTGTTCTGTGTAATGGTATAGCACAGAGCAGCCACAAACCTCCTATTCTGGGGTCCCCTAATGGCGATCTTGGTGTCACCTCTTCTGTGTCTGCTTCCATACCAAATGCTTACTATGGGGGCAAATGTTCTGGCTTGATCACAAGCCATGTTCTGTGCATCCATTGACAAACAGCAACAATTCAGCTCCGCCCCAGCTCACAGGATTTGATTGGTAACAGCAGGAGCCAATGGCTCTCACTGCTCTTGACCAAGCTTGTGAGAATGGGGAGAGAGGAGAGAAGACCAGCAGATGGGCACAGTGCTGGATCAATACTACAAGTATTTGGGGGGTGGGGGGGGGGCAGCAAGTGGTGAAATGTTTATTTACCATAATGCAGTGAACCACTTTGAATGTAGTTTGAAATGCATCTTGTGTAACTACCTGAATTTGATTTGCTATCAGCCTCTTGCATTTTCTTAGACAGCAAAACGCAGCCTGGAAAATAGAGGGGCAGGACTGGGAGCCAATAAATTGTGCTCCATGCAAATTTGCTGAAAATTAACATGCTGATAGGAGGAGAGAGCAGTGTGATCAGTGGGATGAGCTCATCAGTCTGCTGCTGCTCCTTCACTGTCCAGTCAGCAGGCTGAGGGTTAATAGAGGACACCACTGTATTTGTGTATCCACTGTAATAGAGAAAGTGGTGTCATGCACTTAGCTATGCTGTGTGCCAGGACTCGGACTCTGTAAATCTCAGAATTGAAGGACAGAAATATGTTGTACAAATACTTTGGCAGGTAAAACATCTGCCTAATATATATTTGGCTATTTGCCTAAAATTCGGCTTTACTATGACTAAACAGTGATTCTTTCTTTTAACCTCCTAACATACTGCTGCTCCTTTATTGTTAAAACAATTTTACAGGAAGAATACTAATAAGTGAACTACACAAAGAAGAGGCAAATGTAATACAAATAACTGGTAAATACATTGATAATATATACATGTTGTTACCTAAGAAAGAAAGACTATAATGATTTATCCAGGCAAAAATCAACAGATCCAGCATCAAAGGCTGATCTATCTATCTATCTATATCTATCTATCTATCTATCTATATCTATCTATCTATCTATCTATCTATCTATCTATCTATCTATCTGTATCAATAGCTGCTCCATCTGCTTATGTCAACCTTTCCTACCCCACACCTCTGTGACCTACCCCTATGCTTCCCAGGTGACAGCAATGGTGCTTCATGATTGGCCACTCAGATACATATTCCTTTTGCATGATGGCTGGAATAGCCCTCAGCCTTATAAACTTAGAGCATGTGCATGATGTCCTTGTGATCAAATGGAACGGCGGGAAGCAATAGAAAGTGTGTTGGAGTTTTATATATTAAAAAATATATACTGATGTTGCAATTAAAATACACTGTATGTATGCAACATTGCATAAATGCATTTTATTGTCTATGATTACAAATGCAGTGAATGTGAAATGTACAAAACATTCACCGCAGGTGAATCAATTAATGTAATTTAAAACACATGTACCAGGAAGACAGACTGGCAATGAATGTTTGGTCAATGTCTTATTTGCTGTTTTATAAATAAATCCCTTGGGTTAAGCTGGCATTTCTAATTGTGAATTATGCCCATATTATTAACCTGGATAGTTAACAGATCTTAATTGTCATTATAAGGTAACATGTAAGTTCTGTTATCATAAATAAACGTCTAGTAATATATATACAGGTGAAACTCAAAAAATTTGAATATCGTGAAAAAGTTCATTTATTTCAATAATGCAACTTAAAAGGTGAAACTAATATGAGAT